TCAATGAAAATAGTAATAATAACAATAATGATAGTAATAGTAATGAATAATAGTAATAATGATAATAATAATAATAATAATAATAATAATAATAATAATATAATAATAATAATAATAATAATAATAATAATAATAATATAATAATAATAATAATAATAATAATAATAATAATAATAAGAAGAGTAATAAAAATACTATTAGTACTATAACAGTATTTTATATTAATCAAAGTTACTTTGTGGCCGAAAACAAGTCTAACATAGTTAAACAACTCAAAACATCGATTGTAAATCTCCGAAAAAATGCAAGCGAATAACTGCAAATACTGTTCAAACTATCCGTCACCATCATCATCACCGCCACACTTCAACTAAGTTTAAGCAGAAAAAGACAGTAAAAAACTCTTAGCAATAACAGCAATGACGACAACAAAATCACTGTTTATCCACAGAAAAGCTCTTTTCCAGTAAAAAAAAAGGGAAACTTTTCCAACCATTATCATCCTATCTTTAGTTGATTATGTTATTCAACGAAAACCATCTGTTACAGAAAAGCAAAGCAATGAAAAAGTAAAAAAATTGTTTTTGAAGAACAAAAAAAAAAGAAAACAAAAACAAAGCTTCCTTGCTCGTTTATAAGCAAATCATTGTTCTTTATGTTCCATAAATAATTTCCCATATAAACATACATATAATATATGTCAGCTGAGTTATATATATATATATATATATATATATATATATATATATAGGCAAAAATGCTAACTCAAGGCGGATACTGGATAAGACTGTTTTGCATGCATTATATAGATGTTTGTATCATATGTGTACGTGATGTCTTTTGATAGTTTGTTGTCATTTCGAACGGTCAAATAAGTTTAGAAATGTTGACAAGGTGAAATAAAACTCATAAAAACTGTTTTTAGTGTACATTATTGGTTTTCCTAAACGTCCAATAGTATTATTTTCTTTTGAATCTGTAGAAAAAAAGAAAAAGATAAAAAAAAAAAGTAAAGAAGAAAAACGATTAATAGTATTTTTGTAGATTCTGATAATTACTGTCATAATAAATCTGCAATTTTTTTTCTCCTTCATTAATTAAACCTAAAGTTAACCATCTGAAAAGATTAACCAACTAACCAACTTTTGTTTTATTTTTATTTCCTGAACGAAAAAAAATTTTTCTATTTTTTTTCTTTCTGATAGCGGGTGGTATTTTTGTACCAACCAACTTATTATTATCATCTCCTTTCAAGGGGGGAGGAAGGGGGGGGG